TTGTTCAATTGCTTGGTCTATTGACGATTCCCAGGTCCAACTGTGTGCCTAAAAATTCAGAGGTAAAGGAAGGGGAGACGGCTTGGTCAGTAAAGTACTTAGCCCAAAGGCATAAAGATCGGAATTTATAAATTTTAGCATTCACACAGAAATAGACCCAGAAGATCCTTGAGGATTACTGACCTAGCCTTTCTGTTTAGCAAACTATAGGTTTCACTGAGAGAGACTTTGTGTGTTTGTGTGTGTGTGTCCATGCGCCTGCCCCCAAAGTTAACATCTACCTCTGCAAGCACTCCCATGTGCAAATGCACTTACAGACAGACTAAGTCCCCGATTAGATCCCACAGAATCATAAACTCCTAGGGTTGAAACTCCAGAAGGAGGATTATTAGAGTCTGGGGTCTGTTCACAATCTGCTCAAAACTGAATTGAGGGCCAGGGATGGAGCTGACGGCAGAAGATTCAATGCCCAGAACTACAAGTGGCCTTGGTGGTGGTGAATACCAGTTATCTCAGCACTTGCCAGGAAGGCCACAGTTCAAGGTCATTGCTTCTGCAATGAGGTTAAGGCCAACCTGTCTTTTAATAAAGAATGGAAAATGAGGTCTGTTTAATTTGAACAGACAAAGGTCCTATTAGGCGTCGGCTGCCTCTGCCTTTCGGAGAACTGCAGTAGAAGGTAAACTGCAAACGGTCTAAACGCAAAAGCGTTTCCTCAATTCAATTCCGTATGCACGATGGTAAAAATGACTAAAGGTATACTTCTTAAATACTGGAGTATACTGAGGTGCACACCAGACTACACCCTGGGGAAGGGTACCAGGAAACCAGCTGAGCAGTGAAGAGCACTCACCGCCCTCCAGAACCTGAATCCCACCTCTAGCTCTCAGAAGCTGCACCTCTCCTTCCCTGGCTTCCTCTGGCATGTGGACACACAACGTCACACTACAGACACACTTTTTCTGGCTTCTTACTGTGTAGCTTCTTCTACATTTTGCTGACAGTAAGCAATTATGAACAGGTTTAAAAACATAAAAGCAAATCCATGACATGTTAAAAAAAAACATTCCATGAGCCATTTCTAGCTGCTTGGTGTTGTGACCAAATGCAGACAACTGCAGGAACTGTGACTCTGAAGAGCAAAGGTACACAACATACATGGTTTTGACCCACATACACACAGAGGACTATGTGTCCACTTTCAAACACCTAACATACAGCAGTAAGCCTATGGGTGACTAATCAGAAGTGCTTATTTTATACCTGGGAAAGCAAACACGCCAGGAAGGTAAGATGATTAGACCAAAGTTATTACGGGGTGGAGGTCTTTAATTCGTCAGCTGACATGCTAGTCTGTCAGGGCTGTCCTGAGAGACATCTATAGTCTCTGTAAACAACAATCTGTTTGTCACATAGGCTTTCAGGTGACCAAGCCCAAGGGCAAGGCATGGCAGGCTTGATTATCCTGCCCCTCCACACCTCCCACATACAGAGGATTGCCATTTCCCATGTACACATAGGGGCTTTTCTCTACATGCCACAGAACTCTTCCTTCTTTCCTTTCTTCTGATAATGGTGATATTGGCTTGGGTTCCCTACCCTTGGTTCTCATTTGAACTTAAATCACCTCTTCTAAAGATTGTTCTGGGGGGTGGTACCTCCCGACTTTAATCCCAACACTTGGGAGGCAGAGATAGGTGGACCTGAGTTCAAAGCTAGTCTGGTCTACAGGACAAGCCTGTCTTCCAGGACAACCAAGGCTATAGATACAGAGGGACCCTGTAGAGAGAAGGCTCAGGATGTAACTCAACGGTGGAGCTTGCCTAGCCTGAGACCCTCAGTTCGATTCCTGATATTGTAAAAAACTCAACACTACCACAAAACAGTATACAATAATGGCAACAAGGAATACTAACATCAAACTAATGATCGTACTCATGAAAATATAGTTAATCTGGGCACACAGCTATAAACACGACTGAGAGGCAGACAAGCAGGAGTATGTCCCCAAGTTCAAAGCTAGCGCTAACTTTCCCTGGATTTTTCAGGCTACCCAGAGCTACACATCAAGTCCCTGCATGACACATTACCCTCACAACCCCCAAAAATTAGTTAGGAAGGAAGACGTACTACTTTCCTGGAATTGTGCCATTCACTCCCTCCTAAACCTGCAAGGAAGGACAACTGGCTGTAGCCATACGATGTTGACCCACCCTCTAATGGGGGAAGAACCGCAACCCCAACGCTCTGTAAAAACAAAACTGGATTACATCTTTTAGGCACCTGCCACACCACAGACATGTATGTCTTTCTAAACCTGAGCAGGTCATCTTGTGAGCCAGCTTTGTCAGCTCTTACCATGTGACTAAAACAATTCTCATTTTATAGCTGAGAGAACAGGAGCACAGAAAACTTAAAGTTTTTTTGTGAAAGTCACTAAGCGCGTCAGTTAACTGCCAGAGCCATCGCCCTCAGACAGTAAAACTTGGTTCCTTGCCACGTGTGGCCGGCACACACAGGAGTCAGATGCCATGAGACTAAGCTGCAGCACCTCCTTCATGTCCTTCACATCGGGGCCACAATCGCCCTAACAACTGTGACGGCCAACGTTTGGCTCTGATGGGCAGCAGCCACAGCTCCCTCCTTTCCCAGGATGCAGTGCATGCGGGTTCCCCATTTCGAGTCAATGGGTGTCAACTGAGAACTGAGAGCAAGTCAATGTTTAGTATTGCACAGTCCAATCAGTGGACACGCTTCCTTTAGAGAGCTTTCCTGAGAACACTGACAGCCTTCCTGTCAGTGCCTTGGAGCAGACAGCAGGAGCCCTCAGAGCTTCTCCAGCCCCAGAACTAACTGTGAGCTCTACCTTGACAGGTGGCTACACAGACCAACTATCCGATGTGACTGGACCCGCCAGGCCACACCCACTCAGTCAGTCAGCCTGGGCCCTGATTCTCAGAAAACAGTTACGCTGGATAGGATGTGGAAAGTCACAGTTCCCAGAGGAACCTCTGGTGGATGACAAGGTCAGCTGAGTCACAGCAGAGGGCTGTTTGTCAGGGCCTGTCGTAAAAAAGGAGCTATATAAAGAGAAAGCACGCTTAATTCTCAAGAAAACACTGCTATCTGGTTTCTTTTTTTTTTTCTGATTGTAAGGCTTTCTGATTGTAGTTTTGGGGAGGGCACCCCAGTACCCACTATGTAGCTCAGGCTCTCACTGCAGCCCAGCACCCCATGCTGGGATTACAGGTGTGTACCACCACACCCAGCTTCAAGTTTGTTTTGCCAGGAGCTGCCCAGCAGTTTTGATTGTGCCATGGAGACTATCTGACCACTTCAGAACTCTGTTGTGTTGTTGTGCAAGGGAAATGAACAGTGTGCTCAGGAGCCGGAGGATGGCTAGCGTGCTCCTCCATCTGTACCTGCTACCATCCTTTGTGAGCAGGCTGCCTTTCTCATCCCAAGACGCATGCTGCGCGGGTTTGAATTCTGAGAGAAGCAGTCAGCATAGGTACGAAAGACTGAAGTTTGATCTGTCACCAGGATGATACTTCCTATTTGAAGTAATCACATTCGCATGATGAGATCCAAGGCAGGTATATTTCTACACACACACACACACATACAAAACCAAAACACCTGAAAGGTATTTTTTGTAAATGCCTTGTCAAGAAAGAAGACTTCCAGACACAAAGAAACACAGATGTACATGCTTCTAGGATTCAGACAGCAAGATTCAAATCTTAACTAACTCAACCACTTACTGTAATAAACGTTTGTTTATTAATAAACGTGTATCAGAGAGCACTGGCCTACACGGGTCAGGATGAATTACGTGAGAGACGCCTTATATCCTCAGATGCAGCCCTATCTAGATCTCCTTCCTCATCAAGCTTCTCTAAGACACACACACAAAAAAGCACAATACACCCCACCCCGCCCCCATACGACTCTTTTTTGGCTCCACAAAAACCTTTGTGTTTGGCAGTAGGGATAAACTCTTATCTGCTGTTTCCCCGCCAGCACCAGCTTTCTTAAGCTGACTGGGCTCCAGATAATTAGCTTTCAGGAGGATCTGATTGCATCTGACACGCATATGACACGGGGCGAGCGAGGAGGCCGCGTGCCTTTAACTACACGGGGAAGGGTATTGCCGGGGAAGCCGGCAGAGGACCAGGACTGCGTGCTTTGGAAAGAAGATCAAGAACCATGAGACAGAGAACATTCCAGATAACTGCGCGTAACCTGGACGTCTACGAGTGGCCTGCCACATTAAATCGCATATGGCTCGGTAATGAAAGGAAAAAAATTAAAGTCAATCTCACGCCTCAGTTCTGCCACTGATGGAGCTTAACAAAGAAAACAGAGTCAGCCCTCTGAAGTTACTCACTAAAGGCAGAAGTCATCGACTCCACAGTTAAAGGCGTAAGCTCGATCATGTGAAGCAAAAAATCCTGTTCAACAATTAGCCAGTGTCCTTAAATAATTCAAAACAGAAAACTAAGACTTCTCTGAAATTTTACTAGCCTTACCATGCTGGAGCTGACTGCAAACCCCATCACTAGCCCTGTGGTTCTCAACACAGGACCCCTTACTTCCAAACATCTGCTGCTTTTACAGTTAATATTTCTCCAGAGCCAAGGAACTGATGTCCACTGACAGAGTAAGTGAATGTAGTAACCCAGCCGCTCTTCCCAAGAACAAGAGCAGGGAAGACAGTTACAGGCACAGTCACAGTAGCCAACAACATGTCAGACAAACCCAGAAAATGAAAAACCTGGAAGGCGGGGTTCTGCTCAAGCTGAACCATTGTTTTACAATGGCCAATCGGCAACAAGAGTGCCCTCCTCAGAATTTAGATCGGAGGAACAGGTCATTTCTTCCCCAGCATGGAAAACAAGAACCAGCTAGCTTGGCATTGCACGGCGTTCTCTCACAAGCACCTCGTAACAGTCCTTTGGTGTTGCTGGTTTTTCAAAATGAGGAGTGGATCAACTTACATGGCTCCCTGGCAATGAATTGAGGTACAGTGTTGGGCAGAGGAGTACTGGGGTTTGGAGTCCCTACGAGTTTGTTCTTGGCCATCTTCGTGTTTGCCTTAGCAAACTCTAGTCGTAGTGTTTGCGGGATTTCAGGATCGAAGCGGATGCCCTTTGGGAAAAAAAGAAAACAACAAAGAGAAGATGTAAATCATAACGGTGACAAAGTGAACCATGCCATAAACTCTGACCTATCGGGGAACAGGACTGGCAAGGGCCCTCATCCTCAGCACACAGAACATGCAAGACTCATGGCCAGAGAGCCAGGCAGCTTGGCCACTGGAATCTTCAGTTACGTGGACATGCAAACATCCCTGTTCTTCCTGACCATTCTCTAGTCTGACTTTGGACGGGTAGCTGCTACTGAGCATGGGAAACCTGAGTGTGATCCAGAGAGTGATGCGCTGGGCAGCACTGAAGGGCGACACCTGAAATCCTGAGCAGGCTGCACTCTGAATGACGCTATAAACAGTGGAAGTCTTCAGTGCTTTTGGAGAAGAAGAGGCATTCTGGCTCCAATTCTGCTTTACAAAGGCCACACATGCTCGGAACACAGGAACTAAATAAACAGCTAGTGTTTTAAATGTAACTGTTATCATGATTCCAGTTACTTCATGAATTTGCTAGGCTGGAAGTGGTGAAATTCTGACTTCTTATACAGTAGGCTTTCAAGGTGTATGAGCAAACAAAAGACTCCAAAAGCCCAAGATAAAGAAAGTTCAGTTGTGGCAGAATCCAGCGTTAGTCTCAAGGCAGCTAGTTTGCCCACCTGTCTGTCCATCCTCGGAGTCATGGAGACAGCCAGTCTGATCCAGAAGGCCAAGCTGGCCCAAAAGGTCAAACACTATGAAGGCTGCCATGGAAAAGGGTGAGGAGCTCTCCTCCAAGGAGCGGAACCTGCTCTCTGTGGCCTACAAGAACGTGGGCGGCCAGAAGGGTCCTGTCAGCATCGAGCAGAAGAGCAATGAGGAGGGGTCTGAAGAGAAGGGCCCGAGGTGAAAGAGTACCGGGAGAAGGTAGTAGAGACCGAGCATCACTGTGCTAGGCGTGCTGGACTCCCACCTCATCAAAGGGGCTGGAGAGGCCGAGAGCCGTGTCTTCTACCTGAAGATGAAGGGTGATTACTACCGCTACCTAGCTGAGGTGGCCACTGGTGACGACAAGAAGCGGGTCATTGATTTTGCCCGGTCAGCCTACTAGGAGGCCATGGACGTCAGCAAGAAGGAGATGCCACCTACCAATGCATGGGCCTGGCCCTGAACTTTTCCATCTTCCACTATGAGACAGCCAACAGCCCCGAGGAGGCCATCTCACTGGCCAAGACCACCTTAGACAAGGCCACGGCTGATATGCACACCCTGAGTGAGGACTCCTACAAGGACAGCACCCTCATGATGCAGCTGCTGACAGACAACCTGACACTGTGGACAGCCGACGCTGTGGACAGCCAACAATGCTGGGGAAGAGGGTGGCAAGGCTCTGGAGGAGCCCCAGAGCTGAAGCAGCCTACAACCTCCCTGGCCCGCCTTGCCCTCCAGTCCCCAGCCTGCAGAGGACTAAAACGGAGTGGGACTCCGCCCTTCCCAAACCCTGAGAGTTCTGCCACACCTTGGAAGGCTCCTCTGAAGGGGTGCAGTCAAGCTGAGGCCACCAGGGCTGGGGAAATCTCACTCTTCAAGTGTAGCTGTCTGGTGGGTGGTCCCAACCCAGCCCACCCCTGCTCTTTGCACCCCCACTTCCTCCCACCACTCCTGAACCTGTCCTCCACCTGGGCTTATCCTCAGGCACCTGTTGCTTCTGGATCCTAGAAATCAAGGGGGATGCCCACCCCTGTAGCTGAGAACTGGACTGGACTGTGCCAAGGAGTGTGTGTGTGAGAGACAGAGACAGGGACAGAGACAGAGAGAGAGACAGAGAGAGAGAGAGAGAGACAGAGACAGAGAGAGAGAGACAGACACTGTGTGTGTGAGTGAATGAGAAGGAACACATGTTTGCTGGGTGTGACCATATTATCACTCAAAAAAGTTGCCCTGTGACAAACAAAAAAACAAACAAAAACAAAAAAAAAAGAAAGAAAGAAAGTTCACTGCAATTGACCTTTAAAAGAAAGACAAGGTTTCAGCAAGCAAGCAGTGCATGCCTTCAATACCAACCAGGAAGGCAGAGGCAGGTGGTTCTCTTGAATTTTAGGCTAGCCTGGTCAGCAGAGTGAGTTCCAGGACAGCCAGGGCTACACAGAGAAACTCCCGCCCCACCAAGAAAAAAACAAAAAAGACAAAAAAAACCAAAAAAACAAAGACCATGTTTTAGTAAAGCAGACTCCAAGCATTCTAAACTACAAGATTTCAACATCAAGTGGGCTTCATGACTTCCTCACTCAACAATGTCTTCATGACCAAGCAAAACTAACAATCTAATGAAAACCATTCAATGCCAGGAATTCTGGGTACTACCAACAGTGTCAAAGACACACCAGATTCAGACCTCACGTTTCTCTCAATCCTAAAAGTGAATTCTGCTAAGAATACAAACTTTTCATTTATGTGGCCTGAGGGTCCCCCCACAACCCTTCCTTTCTTTTATCTCAAGAGTCGCCTGTAGGTGCGTCACCCACTCCCTACCTTTCTTCATTTAAAGAAAAGTTAGGGATGTTTATATAGGACACTAGTAAGAATCTCTTAGGTCTGCAGACTAGAATGACTATGGACTTCACAGGTTCCGTTCCAAAGACACAGAAGAACCAGTGACTGACAGTCACAGGAACCCAGATGGGCAGCTGCAGGCAAACAGCCCTGACCCAGAGGTAACCCGGAGGAGTATGAAGGACTGATTCCTGACTTAGTTATTTTCTGAGGAGATGAACATTAAGGTGATTGATTATTCGAGGGGCAGTGCATCGCATTTATGTAGCTCTAACCAGCAGAGGTAAAAAAAAAGGAGAGACACCAGGTTTGTGAAATATGGTGTCCTGAATTAGTAACCTGTCTGACTGTATTCCCAGAACATACATCGGGAGGCAAAGCTGTCGCAGGCAGCAGCATTTGCTTCCGAGATCATGCAACTGAGACCCACTTCCTCCCACCACACGGGCTCATGTCAGGAATCTCAGCTCACTGAGAGGAGGCAGAGGCAAGAGGGTTAGCATGAGTTTGAGGATAGCGTGGGCCACAGAGAACGAGTAAGACCCCTTGTTGAAGGAAAATAAAACAAAGAACAGTAAAGTTGTCCTCACAACCAAGTATTCCCAAATACGGAGTAATGAAATGTCTTTGCCGAGAGGTGACTGTGGTTTATCCAGAAGGCCCGGTGCATTCACACCAGAGCATGGCAGACACAACAACAACAACAGCAGCAGCAGCAGATACTTCAGGGAGTCCTTTCCTACACTAACCTCCGCCAACCTTCTTGGAAGCCATCTTTTAGTCCTGAGCCTGTATCAATCCAAGGAGAGATGACAAGCATTCTGGGTCCTGTCAGTAGTGCCTAGTGTTTAGCCTTAGGCCTTGGAGATGAACATCTGAATTCCACTCTTCAGCTTGCTTATGGGTTTTCTAGAACCCACCAAGACTGTCAGTGTACTTGCTACTTACACAACCAACCTAAAACTTGCTGGACTTAGCCTTCCTCCTCCCTGCCCCCTTCTCATACCCTTCTCTTGTTTGAGCTAAAATAACATCAACATCATGTTCCAAATCAAAGTTCCAGCATCTTATTAACAAAAACAAAACAAGAACGCTCAGAAGTTAAAATGACCTAATTTGTTTGGCAGCTTATTGGGCGGCCAGAGGCTCGGAATACAAGCCACATTCCGCCAGCATCTTTTGCAGCAATACCATATTTGGTAATCAATATCCTGCCCCACTAAGTTTCTATCCATAGGGATTAGCCAAGTCCCAAACATTTTAAATGGTACAGAATGATGAGCTGTGGGAGGGAGAACATGAGAGGGAAAGAGAGAGGGAGGAGGAAAAGGAGACAGATAGGACATGGGGTGGGGGGGGGGGCACCCTGTGCTTTTCATTAAAAGCTAATAGGATTCATCTCTGGCTATAGTAACTTGGTATTAAAAGCTGTCAGAGTGAGAGTACACTTATCAAGTTTAAACAAACAAAACAAACAACCAACAAAAAACCAGACTCTCTGCTACTCAGCATCAACTTCCGACCCTCCAGCTAATAATTTATCAAAACTCTATTATAATGTAGCAAAAACTCCCTTGAAAATATAAATGGCGGGGGCTGGAGAGACAGCTCAGTGGTTAAGACCATTGACTGCACTTGCAGAGGTCCTGAGTTCAATTCCCAGCAACCACATGGTGGCTCACAACCATCTGTAATGGGATGCAATCCCTCTTCTAGTGAGTCTGAAGGAAGCAACAGTGTACTCACATACATAAAATAAATAAATCTTAAAAAAAAAAAGAAAATATAAATGGCAGGCTATTTACATGGGCCAAAAAGATACTTTCTAATGATCAGTAATAAAACAAATTGTTATTTACAAGACACCCAAACCAGTCACTATGGGGCAGGGTGGGGGGTGGGGGCAGACAGTCTCCAGCAGCCCAGATCCGGTGTGACTTAGAGGCTGACTCCTCACAGGACAGCCTGTGGGAGATGGCACAGCAGGCGACAGCGGATCTTTGGGAGTCTACTGCATATCAGAGAACACATATCAGAGTATCAGGTGGGACAAGTGAGTGCCCAGGAGAGAGAGGGAAGATCAAAGGCCAGGCTCACCAGGGGCAGAGTCACAAAGTAGTGGTGGTAGTGGCCATGAGCAGCCCCATGAGGCCATGGGACTGAAACTTTGATACACACAGAAGGTGGCCAGATAACAGGTGTCCATTAGAGATTCTCACTGCACCCTAATACCTGGAAGAGTGTTATGTGGTAGGGTAGAGTGTTTGAATTCCGTGTCTAACCACAAGCCCGAGGTACTCTGTAAGTAGCTCCACGATTTAGTGGGTCTATCAGTCCCCAGCACTGAGTTTTAGGGGCAGTGGAATCATTTACAGAAAGAAAGAGAGAAAACACAGTAAGAACAAGACAGTACCAGCATAGACCTACTTAAAAGACATCCAAGGGTTATAGCAGGCTTTTGTTGTTTTAA